GATATGTATCTGATGCCCTCTTGTGCCAATATGTGTTCAAATAAATAAATAAATAAACATTCGGGTGAGACTATAACTGATAGACGAGCTAATCAGGTATAAGATAATAGGTCTTGGATTTTGGCGCGAAATTCACTCGTCCATTTGGCATTATAGATGATATCAGTTCGCGATGAAAACCCTCAACTGTAACTCTCGTTCGGTCCTAGTTATTACGTGGGCACTCTGAAGGTCAGTCTGGTGTCACTGAAAGGTCATCCATTAATTATAGTCCCACCGAGTTCGGTTATAAAAACTTTCATATGATTAACTTCAATGATGATTCGAACAATAAAAACTGGTCCATTACTTTGTATTATTATGATCACATCTATGATCATGTCTATATGAACGTGTACGCTTGATTACATGTGACAACCCACAGCACATATCTCTCTCTAGATTAAATGTTGATAGCTTAAATATTGCTCAATGAATCCTTCTCTTCCCCATATATAATATGGTATTTGAACCCTATTAATAGCCTTTGGATTGCCTAACTGAGCGTTGATTCGATTTAATTATAAATTCGCTTCTATATTCTCTTGCATACACACATTAGCCTTTCTGCTTCGAATTCTTTCGATCTAAAAAGAATTTCGATTTTTCAAAAAAGATGATATCTTCATTAATCTGTAGAATTTATAATATAATATCAGAAAGAACCGATTGATTCCGGGTTCGAATCTCACGGGGAATTATCATCGGATGCGCACTGCTGAAGAGTCTCACACTAGGACAAAACAGTCATCCAGTGCTTCCAGGTTTTCCATAGTGATCTAGCTTTAATTGACGCATGAATTCAACTATTGAATTACTAGAATATCCATAAAAATCTCTTCTTGTACTATATGTTGTTCATAATAAAAGAAAACTTTATTTTTTCTTTTTTTTCTGAAGATAGAACACTCATTAACAGAGAACAAACATTGAGAGGCTTGGAAAATCAATATATGCAAACAAAATGTATGTTCTGAATCACATTTCAATTAGTATATATATATATATATATACCCGAAGGGATCTTGTGGATATTACTATAATATCCACAAAACCTCTACTGGTATTATTTACATATGCTCACTGGTGACGGTCTCCAAGAGGTGTTTCTTTGAGTTCTAGTGAGAAGCAGTGACCAGTGGAGTTCAACTGGGTCTGTTGTGAGATAGTAAATCACTGAAGACAATGGTGGAAGTGTCGCTCAATCTCGTGGATTAGTTGAAGTTAGATATTAACACCGTTGAATGCCGGCAAGTTCAGTGGTCTAGAGGTTAAGCGGTCGTGCTCGAGATGGATAGGTCCTGTATTCGAATCTCGCGAGGCAGGACTGTGGATGCGAACTGCTGAGGATTCCCATACTAGGACGAAACGACCGTCTAGTGCTTTCAGCTTTTCCATAGTGGTCTAGCTCCAGTCGATTCATGATCTCATCTATTAAAATATATATATCCCTTGGCTTATTGAATAACAACTGATATTTACGGCGAGACTAAAATCTATAGACGATCTTTGAACGAATCTTAAATGACCTTGAGGAAATTGAGCCAATCAAAAACAGTCAATATAGAGTAAGAATATATTATACAAAACCAAAAAGTTGAAGTGAATACATTTCTTTAATATGGGTTAAAAACTTTTCAAGGTTAGAAAGAGGCTTTTAAATTCTGAAATCGTAATGCACACGGTAAAGGAACTCATCCGGATAGCTTCATAATAGTTGGTCTCTAGAGCCATGAAAAGATCGTAAAAATTGTTATAGTCTCGATCACAATGCTTCTATATTATTTGTGTGTACTCCGATGGTGAGGTCTATAAAATGCCGCTTGTGGACGATGTCATGATGCAATTAACCAAGTCTGTGTCAACGTCGATATTACCCTCCAGTCATCCCTGTATACTGGGGTATCCAGCTGAACGTACTCTTGTATAATTGGTATTATAGTTGTGAATTGTCGGTTTCTAACATGCTGGAAGTGTTCTTTCTGAGATAGTTTATTGTATATACCAAGAACCTGTTAAGTATATTTATGGAAATGCTAGTAACCCAGTGTTCTTTAACACTTCGTTCTCTATTAAATTTCGGTTTTCTAACAACCGTTTCATCTCAACTCCTCCAAACGGCTCATGCTAGCTTGTCATTTTTATTGCATATATATCTCGACAATATTTATGCTATTGAACTACCGAAGATTTGCTAACATCTGAAAAAGTTTCAGCCAGTGTTGTTGGTACCATTATTATTTAGATTGCAAGAATTATCATAATCGGTCTTAGTCTCAATCGTGATCGGGTGAAAACAGTTTCTGTTGTAGCAGAATTCTTTCCTCCAACATATATTACATCAAAATACAACATCCTCACGATAGTATGCACAAAGTCAAGAAGTCATTTGGTTGCTGTAATCATACATAAAGAAACTTCTTAGTAATCCCATTTGTTTTAGGAGCTCAAGTTATACCATCTTCTTTAAAATTCCGCTGTAAATCAGTCGTACATGAGCATTAGGTACTGAAATAGGCGCTGTGACCTTGTGATCGCTCAAACGCTTCTGGTTGACTCGTCCATAAATTATAGTCTCACCAGTATTATAATTTCATCCTCTGAGACTCGAACTTACTACCGTTCGATTCGAATGTCATTACACCCCGGAGCAAACATCAACTCTGTAATGCAGGTACATTCAACTGACGAGTGCTAAAATAGGATGAAACGCGCTTCAAACTAGATTCCACTGCTAGTCGTTATCTATCTTTGCTTATTAGCATTTCTATGTTGAGATCATGAACCGATTGATGTTAGACCACCACATTGGAAACCTGAAGCACTGGACGGCCGTTTCGCCCTATTGTGGGACTCCTCAGCAGTGCTCATCCACGATCCCGCCAGTGGGATTCGAACCCAGGGCCTTCGGTCTCGCGCGCGAGCGCTTCAACCTACTGGACCACTGAGCCGGCATCCAATGGTGATAGTGTCTATCATCAACCAATCCACGAAACTGCGCGACCAACTTCCATTTTACTGAGGTAGATACCTGTCTCTACCCGACATGGGTTAGCTCCACTGATCACGGCTTCTCACCTAGAACTCCGGCCGTCCAGTGCTTCCAGGTTTCCAAAGGTGGTCTAACATCAGTCGGTTCATGATCTCAATCAAAAACTTAATAATCTCCACAACCCCTATACTAATTTCTATGTTGTTTTTCTTCAAAATTATTTTCAAGCTAATATCAAAATGATGCGAATGAATTTAGTCAGAAATACTATCGCATATACAAAATGTTATGGTTAGTTATTTGAATGCAATATGTTTATTTATTTCTTTTAACAGGTAGATATTGGCACAAGGAGACACCAAATACATAGGTCCCACACAAATGTCATTTGATATGTGTGGGGGCTGTGATACTACCCAGGTGCCCAAACAGAAGCAGGTAGTTTTCTTAGGGAGCCACAACCGGAGCCTTCGACCTGAAGGTCTAGTCCACAGGACAATGGAGCAACGTAAGGGATGCAGTCCCATGGTGGCCGGTGACCAACAATTGGTTCATACGTCATTTGTTCCCTCAGGATACTGGAGTCCATGTGCACTACTGGTTTGGAATCCGGTTAAAGCGCCAGACATTCGCTTTTCGTCCTCTCATTTTCGTAAACAACACTCGTGGTGTGAGAAGGCAGTGAGTAGGACTTGTGTGGCAGAAGCTATATACGCGTGTCCATGTGGCAGCATTTCGAGAGGGAGAGCGGACTATCCACACTCTCGGTCGTACCAGGGCATTTGGGGGGGGGACGAATGCATTAACACCGTTGATTGCCGACAAGTTCAATGGTCTAATGGTTAAGCACTCGCGCTTAAGACCTATAAATCCTTCGAATCATGCGAAGCAGGATCGTAGTTGTGCACTTCTGAGGAGTCCCATACTAGGACGAAACAATCATCAAGTGTTTCCAGGTTTTCTATGGTGGTCTAACTTCAATTGACTCATGATCTCAACTATTAAAAATACTCAAGAATATTTAGTTAAAACATACTGAAACAACATACCTGTAGACTTCATCAATATTTGCTTAAAAATAACTTTTTTTTTATCATAACAGAGAATTACGCCTTCCTCAAATCAAACTCTGAAGAATTAAAACAAAGTGAGTTTATTATTATTTTTTACATGGCATGTAAACTAATAATACGTAACTGACTGAGTACAACGATGATTGAATACTACGAAGTACAATAATCTTGTTTTAGTAGGAAATTTTTTCAGGAACGTATATCGTCGACAACTTCATCCGGGGATTGAACTCAGAAACTTCGAGTTTCACTACGAGAGTTGTTCCGTGGTTGATACTTAAATGATAAATAAATTGCGTAGTTTATATGTTATTGAAAAAAAAATGCATGGTAACCAAATACCAAATAGAGTAATTCATTATTTCATCACAATACAAAACTTATAGATGCTAGTGAATTTATCACTAGAATCCAGGAGATGCCTTTCATCTTATTTGCAACTCATCAACTGTATTTACCTATATCCATTATTAGACATCATCTATCTATGTCTAAAATACTTGTGATTTATTGGTAATATCAAGATAGTCAGTATAGGGTTTACATATGTCAACAAGTAACTGATCAATTCTAGACCTAAACATCAATGAGAAGATTCGAACAACTAATATAGATGAATGAATATTCAATGAACTATTTCAATATTCATTGAGATCATGTATCGATCAATGTTGTTAGACTATTTTAGAAAACCTGGAATCACTGAATGAAAGTTTTATTCTAGTAGGGGACTTCTTAACAATACATATTCACAATGCTCAGAGTAGAACTCAAACTCAGGAATTTCGGTTTTATACAATCGTTATTTTTAAACTATCAACTTATATCAGAATGGATTTTGTGGAGATTTTAAAAATTTCAGTAGTTGAAGTCATGAGTCAATTGAAGTTAGACCATCATGGAAAATCTGGAAGCACTAGACGGCTGTTTCGTCCTAGTGTGGGCATCATCATCATCACATCATCATCATCATCATCATCATCATCATCATCATCATCATCATCATCATCATCATCATCATCCTCATCATCATCATCATCATCATCATCATCATCATCATCATCATCATTCATCATCATCATCATCATCATCATCATCATCATCATCATCATCATCATCATCATCATCTCATCATCATCATCATCATCATCATCTCATCATCATCATCATTTCAATTCTTTCATTTCAGTAAATGCAAGTTTAACGTCCATTTATGTAAGTTTTACAATTCACTTATATAACTTTTCTTTTCAGCCAATCTTGTCTAACAATTTTTTATGATCATGACGACATTTTTTCTTTTTTTTTTCTGGTATATAAATTAAAGGGACACCTGTTAGACCGTGAATTCTGTGTTTATGTTCAAGTTTCATTTATTTGAAACAAGTATATTACGGGAGCTTATGAATTGACTTGTAGCCTCAAATGCCTGGATACGCCTGGGGGCAAGGAGAGTCATCTTACCCTCCCGGAGTGCTCTGATATTACCACTGTCAAGGAAGTACTACTCACTGACGTCTCGCGGCATTATTGTTGTTTACGAAATTGAGATTGCAAAAAGCGAATGTCCGGAGCTGTAAACGGGTTCGTAGATATTAAGTATCGACCTAGAGAAGTTGGGAAACCCGATTCCAAACCAATGGTGAGCATAAGCTTCAGGATCCTGGAGGAACAAATGGTGTATTACCATTTGTTGGTCAACGGCCACCATATGACTGCATCTACTGACGTCGCTCCATTACCATGTGGATTAGACCTTTATGTCGAAGGCTATGGCTGTGGACCCCTAGGAGATCCACCTGCTTCTGTCTAAGTACCGAGATAGCATAACTGCTCACACACAAATCAAGTGAATTTTGTGGGGCATATGTATTCGGTGCACCTTTGTACCAATATTTATGTGGTAAGATAAATAAATAAATCTAGAAACATGTTGATATAGAATAAATGGAATGTAGCTAGCAGTGGAATCATGGATATGTGTTTTGACCTAGTTAAGTCTCGTCAGCTTCACGCATCTGTCTCTCAGAGTTGATATTCAGGATTAATATTCGTGTATCATAATGGCTATATCGAGGCAATCCGCACTGGATATGCGTATTTTAACCAAGATTGATCAAATTTCAGTTGAAATATTAACAACGGAATATTTCAAACGATTTTTTTAAATTGATATAATGAAATATTTTGCTCATATTATCTCATTATCCAGCTTACATTCTGTCTGAAAATACATCTTAGTCATTCAAGTATTACTGGTACATACTTACTTACGCCTGTTAATCCCAATGGAGAATAGGCCACCGACCATACTCTAACCCAATCTGTTCTGGGCCTTCCCTCATAGTTCTATCCGACTGTTGTTCATTCTTCTCATGTCTGTCTCCATTTCTCAGTGTTATGTGTTCTTTGATCTTTCTCTTCTCTTTTGGCCTCGAAAATTTCAAGTGATGAGAGCGTGCCTTGTGACACAGTTGCGTGCTTTCCTAAATGTACTTCCTATCTACTTCCGACCCTTCTTCCCAATTTCTTTTTCTATTGAGAGCTGGTTTATTCTCTCCAATAGTAGGTTGTTGCTGATAGTGTTTGACCAACGGATACGAAGTATTTTGCATAGACAACTATTAATAAACACTTGTATCTTCTGGATGATGGCTTTCCTAGTTCTCTAGGTTTCAGCCTGATACAGTAGAACTTTCTTGACATTTGTATTGAAAATTCTGACTTTGGCGTTGGTTGACAATTGTTTCGAGTTCCAGATGTTCTTCAGTTTTAACTATGCTGCTCTTGCTTTGTCAATCCACACCTTAACATCTGCATCAGATCCACCGTATTCATCAATGATGCTTCCCAGATATGTAAAGGTTTTTTACATCTTCCAAATCTTCTCCATCAAGTGTGACTCGATTGGTACAGGTACATGCTTAAGACAAACCCTATTTCCCAATTTACGTGAAATGATCAATCAGTCACAGTGATCATTGTCCTTGAATTCACTATTGTTAGAACAAATCAAATTGTGTGAAGAGTTAGGTATTCTTTGTCGGTATACGTGAATACATTTGAAAATATATAATTACTGTCTACTCAAGTTGTAACTGTGTTGTTTTATAAGTAAATACTGACCACCCATACGTGAATTGTTCATTTAAAAACTAAAGTGACCGAATTGATTACTGTCTGTATTGTCCTGCAATAGTATTATCTATTACAAGATAGTGGATGATAAGCAAAGATGGATGGTGGCTAGCAATGGAATCAGGTTTGACGAGCGTTTTGTCCTGTTTGAGACTCATCAACTGAATGGGTGAGACTATAATTTATGGAAGACCTTTGGGTGACGCTAAACTGACCTTAAGAGTGTCCACCTAATAACTAGGACCAAGTGAGGGTTGTAAATCAGTTTAAGGAATTAGAATTATGATTTACAATTGATGGTTAAGGTTAACAATTAGATATATAGTTTTCATCACGAACTGATATCAGCAATAATGCAAAAACTCTATTTAACCAAATGGATGAATGAACTTCGCGCCAAAATCCCAGACCTTTTATCTTTAACCTGATTGGTTCATTTATAAATTATAGTCTCACCACTGGATGTAGCTGAATCCCAAAGTTGATGTTTACTCCGGGATGCATATATGACAATAAGAAACTAATCAATTGTAGTTTTTAATATCAATGGAATAATTCAAGCAAATCATGCAAAATGAATTTACACCCCATGTCTAACCTTTCTCCTTTCTCCGGTCTTGGGATTGGCACTAGCCCCAGTGGGGGCCGCAGGCGGAGTTTATTTTCTGTGACATTTTACTTAAAAACAAGTTGAATATTTGTCATCGTATTATTGTTAAATGGACACTTATCAGAAGAAGTTTTGTGGAGAGTTTAGAAATTTCAATAGTTGAAATCATGAGTCAGTTAAAGCTAGACCACCATGAAAAACGTGGTAGCACTGGACGGCCGTTTCGTCCTAGTATGGAACTCCTCAGCAGTTCGCAACCTTGATCCCACACCCACGAGATTCGAACGCAGAACCTATCAGTCTCGCGTCAGGCGATTAACCAATAAGACCAATGAGCCGGCACCCAACGGTGCAGGGTCGTGTATGCGCACTGCTGGGGAGTCCCATACTAGGACGAAACGGCTGTCCAGTGCTTTCAGGTTTTCCATGATGGTCTAGCTTCAATTGTCTCATGTTTTCAACCAGTGAAATGGATACTTACTCTATCCATTTGTTTTTTTTAAACAGGAAACCAGAATGAACAAATGAAAACAGTCTCAAATTGTTTCATTAAAGTATATGTTATCTATAAAGTGCACATTTCATTACAAAGCCATGAATAAATAGATTGTTAGATAATGCTTAATTTTGTTTAAATGAACTGTTGCTTTCTCAATAGTGCTGTGTATTGTTAGCTTGATATAAAAACGAATCAAATGATGAAATTACTTTAATAGTTATATTCATAAGTTGATATATGCTAGAGCATCATTGGAAACCTAAAAACACTGGATAACCGTTTCGTCCTTGCATGGAACTCCTCAACAGTGTGCATACACGATCTTATATGCGAGACTTAAACCCAGAACCTTTAATATCGTATTCGAGCGCTTAATCTCTAAATCACTGAGCTGGTATACAACAGTGTTAATGTCTAATAGAAGGTTTAAAATAATATCTAATTATGAAATCACATGTAAATTACAACTCTGATAGCATGCCGATGACAAGGTATGAAGTTGAATTAACTTTAGCATATGAAGTTTAGGTTTTTGTTTATATTTCTGGAGGAATTTATCGGTACATCTAAATCATACTATAATTGGTAAGCTTTAGTTTAATCAGGATAATGAGTCTCCATCGTCTAAATAGTACATTTGTACTTACTATATAACTTCTTATTTAGTTAGTGTTATGTTTCTTTAGGCAAATGAATCAGTATACATTAACCATTCAAAAGTTGAGATATCATATTGATAACCATGAGTTTATAACAGCTTTCAAGTGTAAAATATTATGATTTGATCTTCTATTGATCTGTTTACTTGAATACATAATCATTGATACAAGGGGACACCAATGTATACATTTATTTACTTACTTACTTACCTATGACTGTTACCCCTCATCAAGGAGTATAGGCCACTCATCAGCATTTCACATCCAAACCTGTCATGGGCAATCCCTCACAGTTCTTTCTAGTTGTTATTCATCCTTTCCATACCTGATTCCGATTCTCGGCGCAGTGTGTTCTTTGGTCTTCCACTTTTCCACTTTCACTCACGATTCAATATTAGGGCTTGCTTCATGATGCAGTTTGATGATTTGCGTAATGTATGTCCTATCCACTTCCAATATCTTTCCTAATTTCCTTCTCAACTTGAAGCTGGTTTGTTCTCTCTCACAGTAGATTGTGGCTGATGGTATCCAGTCAATAGAGGTTGAGTATCTTGAGTAGACAATTATTTATAAATACTTGTACCTTCTTGATGATGATTGTGATAGTTCTCCACGTTTCAGCTCCGTGCAATAGAATTAACTTTCTTGACGTTTGTATTGAAGATTTTGACTTTGATATTGATTGATAGACAGTTGTTTTGAGTTCCAAATGTTCTTCTATTGTAGGAATGTGACATTTGCTTTGCCAATCCTCCCATTTATATCTGCATCAAATCTTCCTTGTTCATCAATGATGCTTCCCAGATACGTGAACGTTTCCACGTCTACTGGAGTTTCTCCAAGTGTGATTGTGTTGGTGTGTTGCATGTTGTATTTTGAAATCTTACTTTTTTCTTTAAGTCTGCTAAGGCCTACTAATGCAGAGTCTGCTATTACACCAGTTTTCTTCATCTGTATAAGATAGAAAGGTCACGTCATCTGTAAAGTCCAAATCGTCTAGTTACATCTAACCTGTCTATTTTATTCCATGCTAACTGTCAAATATGGTGATTTGCATAATCCACTCAACCACCAGAAGAAAGAGAAAGATGGGGGGAAAGGATAGACAGCCTTGTTTGATTCCGATCCAAATCAATGTTAGACAGAAGTCAACTTAACTAACATTGTAACATGACTTTATCATATATCGTCCATTCTATTCTTATTTGAATACTATCATTA